CTCCGTCGCGTTTCAAGGTCCGGCGTTCGTTGATCGAGTAAATGACAATGTTGAGCATGAAACAATGATATAATTGTAATTCCCTTCACATGTTCCTTTCATCCACCAGGAGACAATATAAACGTGACTCGTGACCATGTACAGCCGTCGATACACAAAGAAAAGAAGAGAAAAGGAAATGATAACGCAAGAATAATTTCGCCTGTCCTCTCTGCCAGTTGACCCTTTGCACTCGGCAGTTTTTCAATAGAAATCGAACATTTTCGATTGGAATTATGAATTACATTCATTTGTAATGTAATATTAAATATCAAATTTTATAGTTTGTATGAAATCAAGTGGCGAGAGTCACCTCTCGAGTGCAAAAGGTTAAACACGCGTTCTCGTGATATATGTAACACTTCCTATTCGATTTTCAAGTAAACTGCCGTTTCTATCTGCTTTCTCGTACTCGCGCGCATGCTTTTGCTATCTCTCTCTCTCGGTATCTCCTCGACACCGCGAGAACTCAACGAAAATTGGATGAATCGAAGGGACAGTCAACGCGGAACGCGCTCCGAAGCTTCCGAATATGCTTAAGAGGATTAAATAACTCTGCCGCGCACGGTATCGAACGAAAGTAACGTTTGAACTGAAACAACGGAGGAAACAAGGGCATACTTCGTCGAACCGATACGAACGACAGTGTGCACAGGCTGTTTCGCGTTAATGTTCGTCCTGCACCATTCGAAAGTAATAAAATCGCGAACGGAACATGTAGAATTCACAATCGCTCAAGATGCTTGAACGTTTTCATCTGAATTTTAAGAATATATAGGCGTCGTACCTGTCGATTTATTATTGCACAATGTTACCAGAAACGTTATAGAAACATCCATAGAAATAGTCAAAGATACAGTCCGAAGGTTAACAAAGATTGAACCGACAATATCAAAGTCAATTTCAAATAGTATACAACGCGATGAGATGTACTCAATTATTAATAAACCAGCGAGTATATCGTTTCCATTAATCGCTCTAAATAAAATCTTGCTCACCTTTCTCCTCGAGAAATCATCGTCTTGAATAAGGTGACGCACGTTGAACGGACAACCGAAACCAAACGGTTCAAAGATTCAATGCGGTCGAAAAACGAAAGAAATGAAACACCCTGTGTACAACCCCCTCGATAGCACACGAGCTACCCCCGGAACGTGCGAGCAGCGTGTCGAGAGATCAGTGAATGAAAAAATAATCGTGCACGTTTTAACAATACCGTATTCCTCCGTATATTTACCGATTCTCCTTTGTCCTGTGTATAATGCCTGTATGTGTACGATGCAAGTGTATCTCAGTGTCTATAAGTACATGTACATGTGTCTGTGTGTGTGTGTGCGTGTGTGAGTGTAGATCCATTGCTTCGTCACCGACGCAATTAATAATATCATGATCGCTATAGGCTGATAGGTACATACAAAACAACACACAATAAAAACAATAACATAATATTAACGTGACGCTCACAATAATAATAATTAATAATAATAATTAATAATTAATAATTAATAAT